ACAGAATGATCAGAAGATATTTCGAATCCTGTGCAGGATACAAGTATATCCAGCTTTAGCAGCCAATCAGAGCGCGGCAAAACCTATCAACCATTAACGCCTTTTAGTTAGTTAATATACGGAAAAGGTATTGAAGATTTGGGTTTTAAGTTTGATCTGATAACTTAAACTTCTCAGACTTTTGGTGGTTTCGCTTCTCAGACGAGACAGTTTGTAAAGTCATGAACTATCAAAACTATGAAAATCAAAGCTTCTTTGTAATAGTCGAACCTCCCTCGATATTCCATGTCTGATAACAAAGAAGACTCGTGTGTTTGGCAAACAAAAAAAGGAAGTGTAACATTTGGTTTTTTAAGGAGGAAAAAGGACAGTTTTTTTTTTTTTTTCGAGTTTGATATTCGCTTTTAAAGAAGTCTTTCTATGATCCATACCAACCACTCCGTCTAGCATGGCTCCTGTCATTTCTTTTTTCTAACGCATAATAATTTGAATAGTCGTATTTTCACGCCCACTTAAGGTTAAAATTTTTCTTGTTTACTTACTTTAACGACAGTGAACTGTATCCTACAATATCTGATTAAAACGAATAAATTATATAGTCGTCTTTTGCATTTCGAGCCATATCACCGATATATCGATCACATCTTGAGAGGATTTGTTAGAAAAAGAAGAGAATTTATCCGACTTTTCGAAGGTAAAATAAAAGCAGTTTGTTAAAAAATCGCATTTGCGGTATTGATGTATTTCGTGTCCATCAACATACAAAACAATTCAATTTTTTTTACTAAAAAATGTCACACTGTCGTATGTTTTAGACATGTTCTATTCTTGGAGTTGTATTTACATCTAAAATTTAGGAAGGTGACCGGTCCAAAAGAAATAAGAAAATTGTACATCGCCTGCTCAGACGTGTTGGCCTCGTTTGCGAGCTAATCATGCAAAGCGGATCTCAGCGAACCTCCTCCACAGTTTCAAGACTTAAGCATGCTGACAGATTGTGCACTGACGAATCCCCAAGAAAACACAGCTTGATGGGAGGCTTCAAAATCGTCGGGTATTGTTGCCTATAAACTCCGAAATCCTGGACAGGGGCCTTCTGGATAAAAAAAAATGTCATAAACCTGCCGGATAAAAAGGCATATCTGGCACTCTCTCGAGACGTTTCCCGAGGTTGTTGTCGTAGTCATGTTTCATCCCAAGGCTATCGCGGCCAGGTGTAAAGAGCTCTGGGTCGAGAATGAAGTATTTGTAACGCACTGTTGTTTGCGTCAATCTCTTGTAAAATGATAATGATACTAACAACAAGGACAATAATAAAAGCAGCAGCAACAGCAGTACTTGCAAGTGAGACTGATAAATACAATCGAATCAGGCAACCAACTAGTATTTCAAGGAAAGTTATTGACAAAAATTTCGACCCATGGAGCGTGACCTAAAACTTCCCGTTTCACGAGATGACAAAAAATCATTAAACAGTACATTATGTTTTCTCAGAGGAATTTCTGCCTCAGACTTGGTTGGGTGGTTAATTAGAACTGATTGATTACGCGGCTTTTTCGTAGTTTTGTGGGACGTTTTCGCACAGATGCCTTTTGACGAAAAGTACTAGAATGCTTCTGTTTTTGTTTCAAGTTGAAATAAGGTCGTTCTGTTAGTTACACCTTGAAAATGAATTCTAATCACTGTACTAAAACAGTTCCATTGAGAAAATGGCCACAAGGTCTTTAGAACTAATGAAACAGATGTAAACTTGTCACCCACGCGGGCGTTGGTAACCCAATCAAGCGCCACCTTTCATTCCCAGGAGTCCAGATGGTTAAAGCGATGTGCATAGCCTGTGATATTTTGGGCAAGTTAGATATGTTATCTACTGAGGGACGCCTTCGCTTCCACTCGTCTAGAATTACATAGTCTTTACTACGCTCTGTCAACCAATCGAGCACAGAAATCCCTAAACTGCTTAAAGGATTTTGTGAAGGGCGCGACTATTGTCCAACTGCCCACGATTTGAACATCATCATCCTTTAACATCCTTGTTCCTGTATTGTTTATTACCATCTCATGTTTTCTATCGCCTCATGCTTTTCGTCATTTTTTAGCTTACTATCGTCTCATATTTTCTACCTCATCAAGTTTTTCGTCGTTTTATTTTTTTTGTTGTTGAATCCAATTTGATGATAGTTCCACGGTACATGATACGAATTAAAATTTTGTGACGTTGTTCCTCTGAAGAATTGTGAAAAAATTTTCATACAAAACTTCTTCTAATTGAAAAAAAGGGGGAAAAACAGTGGACAGAAAAAGGGCAGAAGGAAAAAGTTAGTTACTGCTATTTTCAGTCCGCTAAGGAGTTTCCTAATTCTTTTCCCAGAGAAGGTCAGGAATTTATTTCTAAAGATAGAAACAACTGAACTACGTCCTTATTAAATTATGATTACTCCAAACCTTATCATGGCCTACACTTTCAAACATTTTTAGAATCTTAGTCGGACTTCGCCAGAATTCATGGCCAGCGAAAAAAATCCTTCAAGAAAGCAATAACTCATCGCTACTTTCAGTCCTTTAAAGGATTTGATTTCCCGGAGAAGGCCTAAGTCACGATTATGTTTTCAATTTTTTCATTTAATTATTTGCTTTTATCAGAAATAACTGAACTACGCCTTACCAAAATCATGATTACCCTTAGACGTGTTACGTGTATGCAATTTTACGCGTAGTCTAAATTATAACTGACCCCACCAAACCTCTTATCTTTGCTCGTTAGTCGTGTATCTGTTAATATCAACTTGCATCCACGTCAGCTGCTAACCAATCAACAACTCAGAAAAACGATACGCGAATTTTCTGACGTGTTGTCTGGAAATACGATCAGTTATCGCCATGTACTACTAGTTGACCTCAAAGTGTATAAATTGGGAAAGTAGCGTGACTACGGTGGAGTTTCTCTTCAAGTTTTCACCGATCACTGTGTCGCCAGGTCTTTATTCAGAGAAAACAGATCGCAGCTGCCGAAGAGTAATCTAACCAGCCTAACGTAGAAATGAAGTCTTGGTGGATTTTCATCTTTTCTCTGGGAATGCTAACTGTCCAAAATCTCTCAGTGGACGCTAGCCCAGTGTACATGAGAATGTTTCCTCGAGAGCGAGAGGAATACAAAAGAAGTTGGCTTGAAGAAAGGAGAAGTAAGTTTCAATCCGATTTTCTTCCGTTTGATGGTTGTTCCGAATAAAAATTTCACTTGTAAGGAGGTTTGAGCTGCAACAAAGCACTGTTGTTTTGACTCTCCTAACCAACATCAAACCGGCTTATCGCTCAATTCAATGGACCGTCCCATTCACAAAACAATTGCAAGCCAAAGGGCATTAGCAACTGATCTATTTTTCTTCCCTTAAGACCATAAAAGAGAAATGCTCGATTCGTTCATTTTAAATCTTGATTTACCATATTATGCGATCTCAGAAATATTCTAAGATTTTTTGTTTTGGTACGCGCTGAAATTGAGACGACAAACATTTCCGGTGTTTGAACCGAAATGGCACGCAATTCTCTGAGAAAGAGAGCGAAACATTTATATTAACATCGACAGCTCTACGAAATCGCTGGCTCATTAATTTTGAAATCTCGGTCAGTAATAATTAATCGACCCACAACGCTCATACATACTCTCCCATGAAACAATTTTTTTAGATAAGAATTTCTTGATCTATCTTCGACGGGCATCAGAATGGCCTTATGAGGATTAGCTTACGACAGGCTTAAGTATGTCACAGTACACAATTGATAAACACACTGTCAAGTCGAGGTCGGTAGCTCAATGGACAGCTGTAATCTTTGAATGTAATTTCTTCTGATTGGTGTATTATTTAGTTTACAGCGAACACTAAACGCCATATTATATTATACAAGCGTGAAATCTGTCTGGAAAGCCAAAGTTCAATTTAAGATTTCCACTGCCTCGCCCCGTTTATCCAAATTTAATCCACCCGGTCTAAGCCTTGTTCAATTGGCCCAAGTGTGAAGAGACAAATCTTGGCTGACGGATGTTAAAGTTGGCTTACCATCGATCAACCGCGTGATTCAAGAAACCCACAGTGTTAGTAATAGTGCGGTCATATTTCATTAACTGCCCCTTAGCTTATTAACCCCGTGTAATAAAACTTCATTAAAATAAAGGGGCTTCGTTATCTTCCCGCAGACCTCTGCTATGATCTGAAACCCATTGAGTGCATTACGGAGGAGAGTCTATGCGATGAACTTGTCCACGCAAAATATGAGGACTTCCTCGCCTTCGCTCACTATAAGTGTCCCTCCACGTGCAGGGTGTGTTAAGAGGTAAAATAAAGACAAAATCTGAATGCGATCATTTAATAATTGTATTGATAATCCCATGTAAATGGGGTTATAATCTATACCAGGTTGCTCCCCCACCCCTCCCCTCCCTCCCTCCTTTCCTTCCTAGCATGTTATCACGTTTCCCTAGCTGTTTGATGGTGATCCATCTACGCTCCTGGGTAAAGGGTTCCACTGTCATGCCCAAAACCCCAACCATACCTCATCAGTAGGTCGTAGATTGGGAATTGTACAAAAGGATGTGACATTTCATAGGGGTAATTAACTATGGTCGTTTCAAGCCGTGACATTATAGCCACTTCCGATATGGATTGCAACGTTTTGAGCAGATATTGCTGGTTTTCTTCTTGTTATTACCCGACAAGATACGCTTGAACAATTTAGTATGAACAATTTAGCTTGTTGATGGGTAGTTAGAGGCCAGCGAATAGGTGGTTATTCGTTTACTTAAATGAAATGGATGCTAATTAGTACACTTATCTGTCTATTAATCCCTCTGCATTTATTTTTCAGACCATGTACTTGAAAACGGCAAGATATAATGTTTACATGTAAAGTTACATGTTCTTCTCAAAACCTTTGACCAGCTGTCGAGATACATATTCATATTTCAATGTCAGTTATTAATTTGTTTATTACGTATTGCTGTTCTAGTCCTTTATCAACAGATTTAGCTACTTTTCCTTTTGGTCAATGTTTCTCGTATTATACTACAATTGTCAATAAAAATTCTTTTAGTCTACACTAGTTGTAAAGAAGAGTTCAGAGCTGCTCTGCGATAAAGGTTTAATAATAAAATTTTGTGAGGATATTCTAACATTTTTTAAGGCCAGGTAATTTTTTTAAATCTCCCTCAATTCCCATATTTCCAAATTTTATTCTAAAAATGTAATACTCAACACATTAAATGTCCCGTAATACTTGAGTATTTGCCTCGGCGAGATTTTCCAACAACTGCTACATGTCAAGACGGGTGGCATCCTTATGAAGAAACTTAACACTGTGTTATTCAGAATCAGTGTCTTGCAGATTATCGTTGTCTCAAGTCTTAAAAGCAAAACCACCGTCTGATCTTGTCCTTTACTATTCGCCTTACTGCGCTTATCTTCCAGCAGTAAAGAAACGGGTTTAGTGTTGAGTTTAAGAACACGATAGTGCCTGTAAGATCCCGAGCTAAGTCAATGGATGGTGCTCGTAATGCAGTGACAGAAATTATGACTTGGACAATTCCGAAAGGGAGATAACAGGCAAGGAATGTCATTTGCACCCACATTGCAGTGGACAATGTTTTTCTGTATCGCGCAATGTTTAGGGAAGCTGGTGCTCCGGTGGCCTCTTGTTGAACATTTACTTGTCTGCCATGATGGCGTAGCACACGATAAATTTTCGTGTAACAGAAAGTTGACGTTGCTGTGCATGACAGTAGTAGTATGCTACCGCTGACTGCAGCAATCAAGAGCCTGAAAATAAACATTCCTGCAATTGCTGCACCAATGAGCCAAAATATGAAAATCATGACTTTTATTCGCCTTAAAGAAAGAAATTGTCTGTACCGAATCCCCAGTAGCAAAGCAAGCAGCCTTTCCACGCTAATTGCAGTCAGTGTTAACAACGATACTCCACCAAACAACACACTGGTTGCCTTACCTATGATGGTAAGGTAAAGGCAGCTGCCAGATTTCTCTGGCACAAGCAAAAAGACAACTATTAAAGGCTGTGTAACGAGTCCTACCGCCAGATCTGTGCTTGCAAGGTATCGGAAGAGAAGTTTAGATGGTGGACGTAGAGGCGTGGACACATTCTGAAGTGCGATAATAATTAGAACGTTACCCAGAATGGCCGTTACTGATAACGGAATATTCAATGTGGCGATCAATATTTTCAGATGAAATCCATAAAGACGCTCGACGCATAACGAATTGTAGCTTGTCGTGTTGTTTCCAGCCACTTCTGAACTCGTCATTTTTGAAAGCTAGACCTAAAAAATATGTGGATTTTTTTCTCTTATCAATTTGAGATCGACCTTTAGTCTGGTCTTATCGTCATTGCCTGTCTGTCCTTCCATGATTCTGAATCTTGCAGCAGTTCCACATGAACCTATTTTAATGAAGGAAAACATAATTAACGAAGGTGGCTCAAAGCAAAGAATTAAATCCGATTGGTTGAGGAAGTGGCGCTAGTTTTCTAGACCAATCACAGAGCGAAAAAGGGACCAGAAAACACCTGAACATCGCCGGATTGCTTTAGCCACTCAGTGATGATTGCTATCATGGAATACAAATAAAATAAAAGAATACCTTTTTTATTTGGTCAAAATTGGTAATTCAAAGAAATCCTGTCAACGTTAATTATTTTCCTTAAAAAAATTCATTTATGAAATGCATAAAATTATTAATTACGGGCAGAATCATAACATATTTTTTAGTAGGAAGCCAGGTAACGAAAAGAGGAAATACGGTGTATAGAACTCGACAAACTATACTGATCTCTCTCTCTCTCTCTCTCTCTCTCTCTCTCTCTCTCTCTCTCTCTCTCTCTCTCTCCCCCATTGCTGTAGTTTTTATTGTTGTTGTTTTCTTTTTATCACGATTTATTGCAGCATCCTGGTCTAAAGATACTTCTTTTGTATCGATTTCTTTTTAGCTTTCCTCTTTCTTTCTATTTTTTTTATAATTTATTTTACGCTATAGGAGACACTGTCAGATGCAATGAAGATTCTCTATTGTTCACTCGATGTCAAAGGTACTTCCTTTGTCAGTCGAGTTTCGACAGAATTTAGATTTTTATTTACTTTGCACACAAAAAATTTATTGCGTGCATTTTATGAATATCAATATTATAACTATAAAAAATTTTATAAATCTCCTTTGTCACTTTTTGTGCGTTTCTTCATGTAAAAACATAAATAGCTAAGTTCGGTATGGAACAATCTTACTATAGGAAACTTTTTTTAATTGGAATGAACATAAAAAACTTTCTATTCATCGTGGGAATGAGTCACGTTTAAATCATTCAAATATTTACATATATATAGGTATAGCCAAGCGAGAAAGCGGAGGTCCATCCTTCGCACATGTATACGTGATCAATAAAATTTTAACTTGTCTGACAGGTGACCATAAAAACCTTTTCCACTAATCACTTTAAAACCTGGTTTAAGTTCTGTTGTACATACTTTTTAAGATCTATACTAGGAATGGTATAAGGTTATTAATTTCAAAGTAACCACGCTTTAAGATTAACGTAGACTTTACTTTAGATCTCACCTGCCCTTCTCAATGGGGATGAACTTGGGTGATTTAAAAAAAAAGCTCTTTGTGCCACAGAGGAAGGATTTATAGCAAATCTAAAAACCAAGGAAACACTGAAATGACCAACGCACTTTCACCTGTCGATTCCGATTTTGGGATCACAATCAGAAACCGTACCTTGAAGATCTACTCAGTAATCTTGATCGCTTTTGAGTTGAGTTAGACTGTATGCAGCTACCCAAATAGAAAATCCTGCAGAATATTAACAGAAGTCTCTGTTTGAATTCAGCATGCTAACCTCATTGTTACAGAGCCTGAAAAACATCTTTTACAAAGTACTCCCTGTCCATCAACAGACCATTATTTGAACTTTCACTAATTATAAATACAGACTTGACAGTATTGTACTTATATGATTATGACTACTGATCTTCGTGACATTTTCTCGTATTTTTCCATTTGTGAATGACATATCAAATGATCCTCCCATAATTTAAGTCCAGGAGAGAAAATAATGTCCCATTATTTTCTTTTGCGGTCCACCAATATTTATCATAATTTCCTGATGGTATGAGCAATGAAAAGCAAAATAATGGAAGTCGAGCGAGTTTAAAATCTTGATCTAAAAAGTGCCTTTCTTTTCATTAAAGCTTTCGATGACAGACTGCAGAACTTGGACATTTTCGAGCTCATGAAAGGCGGCGATGTAGGTTTATGATTACTCTCAAGAAATGGTAAATGACAGTTTGCCAAATTTTGTTTGAATTTGTATTCGTAATGCTGGAGTCAGTTTTTAAATATCATGTTTGTAGACAAAAAAGACATCGTAAAATTAAACGTGTTACTTTCCATGCAGAGCTAGTATTTTAAACTTTTTACTCACTGAAACAGACATTTCCCTTCATAGAATTAATGCAATAGAAAAAGATGTTTTTTTCGTCTTGTCACGAGCGTGGGACGAAAGAAAAAAATTAGTGTAATGCTCTTAGAAAAAAATCAATGGTAAGCTAAGATGAAAACTCGGAGATAAAGCACGAGAAAAATTATTTTATGGTATCGATCAGTACTAAGTGATTCAGCTCGAGGAAAAATGATTTCTCATTAGTATATTGACTCGTCAAGCCACGAGCAAGTGGAAATCAATAGAAAACATCCACTATCTATTTGTAATCACAATAAATTTATTGACATTTTACAGATGATTGAAATGATAAATATTCGAGACATTCTCTCAAATTTTCCTGCAAATTCTCTTAATGACGTACTGTAGTATTTGTATACGTTACTCGGGAACCAATATTTCTAGCTTTTACTGGCAAGGCATGCAAAAGAAAAATTGTAAAACGAACTGATAAAATGTGTTCAAAATATTTAATTCTCATTTTCATTTTTCACCGTGCTGGACTGAAGGAAATATTTTTAAAGACAAACTCATCTACCTAAAGAATGAAATTGTAACTCAATTTTCTTTGTTTCTTGCGTTTGAACTGTGGGCGACTTTGAAGATTTGGAATATTTCATGCCCCTCCATATTGCAAGTGTACGAAGGGTTTGACTTACGCTGCACGGATCAATAAACCTCTATTAATTTACAGGTGAGAATCGTTTTGGGGATGATGCTTTTTTTTGATTGGTTTGTAAAATTAAAGATATGAATACACGTACAGGAAATCCATACATTTATACCAATATATTTAAGAGCCTCTTCATCATGTAACCAAGACCTCATATACATGTTGAATTTAAAAAATCACAATGAATAGAAACTAGAAAATACCCCAGAAGGCGCCAGTTACAAAGATTTAAGTTATAAAACAGAGACAATTTCCTTAAATCATGATGTATCCTTCTCCTCAAATCTTCCTGACTTTTAGCACATCTTCTGCACCCAAAGATATTCGCCCTGTCTCAGTGTATGTAGAAAACAAAGTCTGAAAATCAACCTGTCGCACTATTCTATTAATGACCGTAGTTGCTGTAAGCTTTCTAGTTTATAGAGTCTATAGTTATATAACTTTTTTTGCTTTTCAGGTGTGTTTTCACTTCTTTTCTGGTTTCCCCAGTTACTCTGGTAAGGAATTGGAGACAGACTTTGACTCTAAAGTAAAGGTTTCCGTCCCTTTTTGCTGACATCATCAGCAATCATTTTTTGTGAGGGATTGTAGATTAGGCACATACCAGTTCAATAGCAGGACACAACCTCAATTTCTTATATTTTTCCAGCGCATAATCGAATAACAAACGTCAGCAAGCTTTTTGATTGCAAGTGCTGTACAGATCAGACTTTCTACTGTAAGCCAAGCGACAGTTACAGGTCATTACAAGATTTCCCTCTTCTCCCTTATTAAATACTACCTTCTGATGTAAGACTAACGCTATAAAAGTCAGCTTTTTAATATTTATTCAACACACACATTGTGAAAGTTTTACTCACCCTTCCACACAGCGCAGCAAAGGGAACCTTGAGAGTCGTCTCGCTGTGGTGTTTTAAACTTCCTTAAGCTGTACAGATGTGAACAGAGCACAATATTGTGGTTTTGCGGTAAATCTAAATGCGGCAACGCATTTTGTTTGTATTGTCGAAGATCCGGTTTTCAGGGAAGCCGAATCATAAGTTTTGTTGTGGTTTCTTGTTAAATGAACTAAATTCAGTTTATTTCAAAAGCAAAAGTTCAATAAATTGTTAAAAAGGGATTGAAAACGAAGTTTGCGAATTTGTAGGCACTCGAAATCAACTCCGCTATGACAGAGAAATATGCTATATACTCGAAGTGTAAGCAGAAATCTATCAAACCTGAAAGATCAACGGAAAACGACATTTTACAAAATACATCCATGCTATTCACTTATTAACAGAGTGGACGGGCCAGACGGGAAAATATTTGGCTCGAGGTCATGAAGTAAGGACCACGCATCGCGAGATCCATGCGTCATTACCGAGATTCAAATACTTTTTCGTTGGGTCCGACCTAACTCATTCAATAAGCATGTTTTATTTATTTCTTTCATCGTTTAGCTCACGTCTCACGAGGCTGTGGAACTATTGTCAGCACTGCACACACCATCGCCTACGGCCCTCATACGCCTTTTGGCGTGGAGCCCATACATGCCATTAAAAAATTCAAGCATGTAGCGTGGCCATGTTTGTTAGGAGAGTAAATAATGCATGGATACGAAACAAATGAATGAGTTGCTAGTAATCGGATCCTCGTGTTTGCGCACACGGGGCAAACATTGCAACTAACTAGAAGGAAATGTGTGGCGAGAGGTTGTTCCGACGTTCGACTGAAAAAACGATTTTAGGGAGAGATTATCGCTTTTCTGCCATTCTTTTATCAGTAATGGCTTTGGGTAATGCTGATAAAAGGAAAGCGTAATTTTTTGTCTGAAAAACCATGAAATATGTGGTAAAATTTACCGCTTAATTCGTCTTGTCTCGCAATGGTCTCGAAATTTAGAAAAAACTAATTATAAATCGCCAAGAAATAACTCAGCTAAGCCTTTTCAGTTTTTTGGGCGGGTGTTAAGTCTACTTCTAGCTTTTTTCGTTGTTGTTTAATACAAAAGAGCGCTACTAAAGCTACCTCGAAGCAGCTTTAGATACAAATGGCGTGCTTTAGCATTAAATATTATGGTAGTACATTTATGTGATAAAACACTGTTTCTTTTTTGCGATCAATGAGAACGAATCAGCGTTGATAATCAGCTAAAACTGAACCCTTTCTTCTCTGACGATGAGTGATAAAAATTGGTCTCTTAGGGAGCGATGTGTAAGTGATGATATATCCATAGTTTCTATTGGAGTTCCCGTGATTTTGCTTTTCCTGACCTAATCCTCGAAGGAGTTCGAGAAGAAAAGTTGCCGCTCAAAGACCTTTGGATTTTTCTCAAACAAACTACCATTTGCACAAGGGATTTCCTCATGTTTTTTTTCATTATTTCAACCGTTCAGAGAGCAAAAGCTCGGTAAAAACAATTCCCATCCCCGCTGACAACGACTTCTCTCCTTTAAGGAGGTATATTTTCAAACGTCTTAGTTTGAACGGTTCCCTTCCTTGTTCGGTATTGATGGGATGAAATTCGAAGTTTTAATGAGTTTTAAACACAGAAAGTTAGTGAAGTATTGAGTCTTCAATCAGCCCACCTTGGCTTTATGACAGAACATCTGCTTGACTATGAAATTATTGCAAGCATTCAATAAAGGTTCGAACTAAAAACAAGCAAACTTCTCGAAGCGCAGGAAAATGTTTGACATTTGATTAGTTGAGAAGGTAATGCAAACTTTTTCGACCAATCATAGAGTGTACTTTATTAAAAGCTGCGCAACCCATGTTTACTTTTCATTTCAAATTAAAATACTCCTTTTCGGTGGGAAATCACCGATTCCTCTAGATTCCAGAGCTTTTATCAAAGACTTAACAAAAAAACGCCCTGATTGTTTCCTTCACCGCTTGTCTTACCTCATTAACTTTCCAGCAGTAAAGAAAAGGATTCACAGCCGAGTTTAAGAGGACCATTGCTATGGTTACATCCCAAATAAAGTCTAAGAATGGCGTGGTTGCTTTTTTAAAAGCATATACTGCTTGAACTATTGCATGTGGTACATAACAAGCCACCACTGTTATTTGAACCCATACTAATCCCGAAACTATCTTTTTGTATCGAGCAAAGTTGAAAGCCTGGTCTTGATGAACTTGCTCTCGCAGATGTATTTGAATTTGATGTTGGCGAATTTTCACGTAGATCTTCACGAAACAGTACGTCGAGACGGCCACACAGACAAGCTCAGTTGCAGAAAGGGTGATGTGAATGAGGAATGAGTTGTAAATGAAGGTCGTTGCAATTACAGAGCTAAGAAGCCATAACAAGACCAGGGTAACCTGTACTCGTCTCTTAGTCACTTTCTGTCGGTATCGAAGTCCCAATAACAGAGCTAAAAGTCTGTCTACACTTATTGATGTCAATGTTAACATCGATACTTCCCCGAGCAATGCTGCGAGGCAATAAAAAATGGTTCTCAGACTTTCGCACTTCCTTAAGTGCCCTTGAGACATTAAATAGGTAATAAAAAGCGGCCCTGCAAGTAGGCCAACTCCAAGATCAGTACTAGCAAGGCATCGAAAGAGAAGTTTTGACGGAGGATGAAGAGAATACACCCTTTTTAGCGCAACAACTATTAAAATGTTACCTGCAAAAGCAGTGATAGAAATCATGATAACTAATGCAATGATGAAAGTTTTTTGTTGCAATCCATAAAGGCGAATTGCGCAGGAGACGTCCTGATTACTCGTTTGGTTTCCATTTGAAGTTGAGTTGACAGCCATTCCTCTTTGTCGCCTTCGAACTCAGTGACGGTCTTTAGTACCGCTTCATTTGTTATTGTCTGTGTAAACACAAGCTTCTCCACTCGAATTCAATTTTGTCTCAGTTTGGGAGCCACCTTTATAACTTCAAAGCTCGGTTCAGCACCAAATACTAATGTTCCGGCCACTATGAGTTTCCATAAATGTACCTGAAATCAATATTCAAATCGTCTCTGGTTATCTAAATTTAACGAGATAATTGCAAGACGAGCAACCACTTCGCATGTCTTAAGTTCCAATAAAGATTATTGAAGCAATAATGTATTCTCCAAAGACACTCTACAAAAACCACTTCTCCACTGCGTCTAAGTTAACCGGTTTTCGTATAGCTTTACAACTGGTGCTATGTGGTTTCATATAAATATTCATAAAACTAATTATCTCAGATAGATGTTATGATAACAACGGGTGGGTTTGAGAAAATAACGTGACGACAATTCTATTTTACAACGGCAGTGTAGTATTTCAATCAAACGTTCGCTAACGAGTGTTCGACCTACGTAACTTGCTTGCCAGGAGATCACTAATATGCTTGAGTAAAAAATAATAGTAAAGTATCAGAATGGCTAGGGCAGTGGCGCCACAGTGAAAATAATTTGTTTCTTTGAATTCTTGTTGTTTTTCCTCAAAACTTCTTAACATACATAAATTATTGATTCTCCGTTCTAGTACCTCAGCGATACTTTCTTTTAAGGATCCTATTCTTCACACCACTGAATTTCGAGAGAGAATTTTGCCTTAGACTCACCTTTTCGTGATAATGTGTCTCATCATTTTTACCAGCCTACACACAATAGCTGCGTGTCAATCGCCGAGAAGACTCTGAAAGCCAAATATGCATTTAAAATTAAGTATTCACTGTAATAGATAGCAAGTTTGCAAACAAAACTGCCACCGGATTCACTATTAGTATGCAAAGTCAATAATTTGACACGAGCTTGCCAGCCAATTTTTCGAATTATTTAAACGCTCCATTCATTTAGAATGAAACATGTTAGTCTCTGTTTATTAATCTTTTTAGGAAGTAACTATGCATGAGACGAGTTCGGGATACACTGTGTTTGATTTAGCTTCTTATATTAGCGCTGAGATTGCATCCACGTTAATTTGCAAAGCATTCGTTGATTCAAGCAGCGTTTACCTAACTGGTTTTCTGTGCGTTAGCACCTCAACCTTTTGTTACATAAAAATATATACGTAGGACTTCGCCAACATCCTTCGCAGTAAGACAAAGAAATTCATATAAGAATAGTTTTATTAATATCCTTTAAGATCTGATTTTACTAGAAATCTCCTTTATGCTAAGTTTTAATAAGATACATTTATGTCGAGTTCTTGTCATACATAATTCAGCCACAGGGCTGTAAAGTATTATCATAAAACACCTGTATCTATCTATCTATCTATCTATCTAATCTGAGAAGGCCGAGGCGAAAATCCAAGATTACATTTAATTTAAAATGTCTCCTCTTTGGCATGTGACTCCACTATTTAACAAACGTTCTTCATCTCGCTCAGGGAAACAACACTCTCTTTGTTTCCTTTCACCGCTGGTCTTGCTTCACTGACTTTCAACAGTTAAGGAAATTTTAAGGAATCACAGCTGAGTTTAAGAAAACCCAATTGCTATCTTCAAATCCCAGAGAAAGTAAAAAATGGCAAAGTAACTTCTGTGAAAAACATATACAGCCTGGATCATCGCTTGTGGCACATAACAGGCTATCAGTTTAATTTTTCATTACCCTCTCTAATACTGTCACTGTCTTTTTGCGTCACGCAATGTTGAAGGCCTTGCCTGAGGGAACTTGCTCTGACACGTGCATCTGCTTTTTTCTATGCTGGCGAAGTCTCTTGCAGATTTTCAGAAACAGAAAGTAGAAAAGGCAACACAGAGGAGTACAGTTGTAAAAATGCTCACTGATATTGGTCAGGATTTAGTTGTGGATGAGCATCGGTGCAATTATTATAGAGCTAACAAGGCGTACTCGTCTCGTAGTCACTTCCTGTAGGTATCTAAGCCGCAATAACAGAGACAAAAGTCTCTGGAGATACAAAAAAAATGGTTCTGGTGTCATATATTCTTCGAAGTTCCTGTAAATGCATAGGAGGCCAGCAATTGTTTAGTCCCAAGACTGGTATTTGAAAGGACTAGTCAAAATACATTTTATGAAGATAAAAGAAAGATTATACAACCTGGCCAAATTAGAAAAATGAGTTGGCGTTGATGTTTGAAACGTCACAATGGACAGGTGCCATGAGAGTAAGTATTTCGCTTTTATTTATCTACCGATGAGAAATGTCAGAAATTTAAATAAAGCCATTTTCAGTTACATAACTAGGCAGTTACAAAACTTCACAACTCCCAGAATACGCTTTCAAAGTGACAACCCCACATTTCATAAGTGAGGAAAGTAATTAAAGAAAGCAAATGAAAAAAAAATTAAATCCACCCACAAACTAAGATAAGATCGAAATACGTCGAGACGCCTTGTCGACGTCAGCAACAGAACCGTGTCAGCTGGATCGTCAGCGCAGAAACAATAAAATACTGTCCCATTCTCATTTTGCATCACCGGAGAACATCAAAAACTTGACAACTTCGTTCCTTAAACAAGGATATTTTGCAAACCAGCTTACTATGTAAAGGAGACAAGGTAATGACTAGTTCTATTAATAGCGAATAGTCAAAGAAACTCCACAGCATCGCATACGTGGATATATTTCCCAATACATCCTTGTACATCCACCTAAAATAAAACAATCCGGGACGTATGGCTGTCTTGTGACTACTGGCTTTGAATTGTTATTGGTGGCTTCATGAAATGGAGGCAAGAAACACTCAAGTGGTGAAGCAGGGATAAGAATAGAATCTTACGTCTTATTAGGCGGAACTTTAAAAACTAAACTGAACGCTACCAGCTTGACGAAAAAAAGGATGGCAAACTCAACACCTGATAGGTACTACATGACGAAAGGTCTAGACGTGTTCTGCCCTATTCGTAAATATGGATTGCCGCTAAAAATTTTTATTATGGTATTAAATATTCTTATGTCCATGTCTACAATTATGGGCAACAAAATTATAATTGCTGCGCTTCAAAGAGTATATTCCCTCCATCCCCCGTCCAAACTTCTCCTTCAATTTCTTATGGGCACAAATCTTTCTCTTGGTCTTCTTTCACAGCCTCTCTTTGTTAGCTTTCTTATGTCTCAGGAGCACTCAGTAACTTGTATTTATCTGAAGACCCTTTTTTATGGTACTGCTACATTACTTGGGTCAGGGCTTATTTTGACACTGACAGCAATTAGTGTAGACCGACTTCTCTCTCTTCGGCTGGGTCTGAGATACCGGCAGGAAGTAACTATAAGACGAGTGAGGATTACATTGTGTTTCATTTGGCTTCTTAGCGCTGTGATGACGTCAACATTCATTTACAATCCATTTGTTACTACGAGCATCGCTTACATAACTGGTTTCCTGTGCGTTATCACTTCGACGTTCTGTTACATAAAAATATACTTGAGCCTTCGCCAACATCACGCGCAGGTAAACGTGCTGGGCCAACTTCGTCAGGGTGATGTCTTCAACATCGTGCGCTTCAGAAAGATGGTGACAGGCGTAGTTTGGGTCCATATTTCACTTGCGGTTTGTTATTTACCACACACGATAGTTCAAGCCGTCTTTGCTTTCACTGGAATGTACACTGCTTCTTTCGACTTTATTTGGGATGTGACAACTTCTATGGCTTTCTTGACCTCAACTCTGAATCCTTTCCTTTACTGTAGGAAGGTTTGCGAAGTACGACAAGCAGTGAAAGACAGTATCAAGCCCTTATTTTGTTGAAGTAAGATAAAGAACATTTTGGAACATTGTGGAATGAACAGTTTCCCAAAAATCATACACATGCATGAATTTGGCGATACAAAGCTTCGGCGTGGGAAGGAAATCGCGCAAGCGTAGTCCCCATACAGTATTTCACTCGAAATTTGAGGCAGCTTACCGTAAGGATATTGGACAAGAATATCTTAAGTTCTATAACTTCTTCATCAGCTATTCCCTTTGAACTTGCATTAATTAAAGGTCATCGGGGAAGTATCATGATCACCATCACAGCCTTTACTTTAATTCAGATTATTATACAGATTATTAGTATTAGCTAATATTGGATGAATATTCTCAGATTAAAAAGAGCCACCTTATATTATTGATAAAGGGAGTTGGGTCTACATCAACTTAACGGATTTTTTAAAAGCTTTTATGCGTCTTGGTGTTCGGATAAAATTCAGTGATAAATCATGGGAAACTTTTTCATCAGGCGTTCTTTGCATTGATAATTAGCAGGAAGCTTTCCTGCACTTAGGCCAAGTGATTTTTGTGCCATATTCGTTTCTAGGAAATATTTCACGGGTGTCGTTCCTCGAACGGACCGGTAAAGGCTCAGGAGGCCAGCAATGGCTTATTCTGGATGCTGGCCCATCAAAAGGACCTTTTAAAATAATTTCAAGCAGAAATGAAAGACTTTAAAACTTGGCTAATTTAGGAAAATAAACAAGGAAAAACTGAAATGAATTAACACGTTTGAGTCGATGTTTATCACATTACAACGAACAGCTGTTTTAAAAGTGAGTATTTCCATTCTACATGTCCGCCAATGAGTGGCAGAAATTTGATAGAACCACGTTCGGTTTACACTGATTAGGAGTTTTCTGATGTCATAGAGACTAGAGGTAAAAAAAATTCAGTTGAACTAAAAGACTTCAATTTTATTAGATTTAGTTTTCCACTGAGAAGACGAAAGTGTTCACAGAACTATGTCAACAATACCATCAATGCAAAATGCAAAAAGAGAGGATTAAACAATAAAATAAAATTTTAACAAAATTAAAATTCTGTCACTGCCACGTTGTATAATGACCGTAGAGCGTCAACAACTTGACAACTCCGTTTCAAAAGCCTACTGCAAGGCTTCATTTATCAAGATAAACAGATCTTATTCGTGGAATTAATCGCAATTGTGAAAGAAAAATAAAAAACCCGCTGTTGTGTCTGTTATCGGCAGTAAGGCATAAACTTGCTTTTCCGTCGGGGTCTTCTGCGAAAGTGCCGCAGTTTTTTAATTTTACAAAAAAGTGAGTGTTTTTGTATCCCAGAGAACGGCCTTTGGTGAAATTCAGTGTTGTACAGAACATATATGCAAAATCGATTATTTCATATGAAGACTAATATCTGGAATCAAGTTAAGCGGGAACCCCAGGAAAGCGATTTCTGAAGTCTGGCTAAAAAATAACTCCTGCCTTATACTCCTGACCTCGACGTTACGCTTTCAGGTGTGGTTTCTTACTAATATGTTTTTCAAATCAGCTTATGTAAAGGGAATGCATAGCGAAAAGTAAATTAAAACTCTCAGTGTTACATATCAACAAGCGACCGCCATGTTTTTGTAAAACACGCGTTTTATTTGATTTGTATACAATATATTAAATATAATTTATAGAGAATAATTCATGGGCGTACGTAGATATGGAATTTCTCTTGAGTGCGTTCAACACGATATCTCACGAAAAGGCGCAGCGAACGAGTGAGATAATGAGTTGAACACGAGCAACCATGTACTATTTTGTTTAATATAAACACCTGACAAGAAAAATCAGCCTCCTTGATAAATGAGAAAAAAGTGACAGAGTGGCGCGAAAGGCGAGTGACGTATCAGCATCAGATTGGCGATCTCAAACACAACGGCTACGGCTACGGCTTTTCTCAGGGCTGGATATCCTTGTAAAACACCGGATTTTATCTAATAAACTCCCCTATCATAAGTCCTTATTTAAAAATCAATCCATTAGTATATTTGAAAAGTTTTGAGGGGGAAGTGGTATTCTCTGGTGGCCTTTTTTTGTTGCTGTAAATTTCAAAATGAAAAAAAACAGCAGTCGGAGGGAATTATGTAGTGAAGCGAATATGTTGCGAGAAAATTAATGTTTGTAAACAGCAGAGTATTTACACAAGCCAGAGAGGTGGAAACTCGGAGTTACAAAGATCCCTTAACTTTAAAACTACAATCGGCCAAACTTTTTAACAGCAATATCAGGTCCTTTCATTTGTTTAGTTTTTTTTTCCATGTTATCAGCCAAGAAAGTATCATGTGATCTGTACGTGCTCATTTATCGTGCTCCGTGCTCATTTATCAAGCTGTCAAACTGTGTTTTGCTACAAATAATGTTCTCAAGAGGTCACATGGACTTGACTGACTTGACTTTACTCGGTTATCGCAAATTATAACCTATCCATTACTTTTAACGCAATTCTATTGGCTACTTTGAGTCACGTGGTTCAGAATACGCGCAGAAACCCCTGTTCATGTTGACCGAAGTTTGTCCTCCGATTATTTCTGTTGAAAATAAACAAAACCAGCGTAAAAAAGCCAGCTCAAGAGTTACACATTTTCATCTTTATTACTTAATATGGAAGGAAATCGAATTCGTTTTGTTGAGCTTCCGAAAGCATAAAAAAGTCAACAAAATTAGCTGTCAAAACACGACACGGAAATTAATGGGAGGGACACAAGATGAATAAATTCCCGACTGGTTTGGCCGATCAAGAGACTGCCCTCATTCATTTTCATATTCATGTTCATTTTTTAGGCAATATCTCAGACTTGAACATTATCAGCCGTCTTGTCAGTCGCCTGAAGGGGTTTATCAACTAAATAACATAGGTTTTCAATATCTCGAACATCAATTATTTACCTCAGCCTTCAGTTTCACCATAAAGGTGATATCCACGCCACTAACAAATTACGATAATTTGCTCATTCTTGTAAACTTATTGTTGACCTGTGGTATGAAGATAATGGCCTATTTCAGTACTTCTAAAGCGATTTTAAATTAATTTTCATTTGATAAATGCAGACAGATGAATAAAAATAGAATTAGCAAAGAACTCAGGAAATCATTCTTCACTATTTGTTCAGCTAAGTAATCATTATATTAAGTGCGCACGTATTTCAGAGCATGAAGAAGAAAATGAAATGTGAAATTGACACGAGTTTTTAATTTTTATGTTCTATTTCAGGGAAGGGGATATCTGTTCGAGAGGAATATATCTTGGACAAGTCAGAAGGAATTATCTTCAATTCTGTTGCAATTGCAGAGAGCAGGTATTCTTCCATTGCGAGGTAATTTATTCGTATCTAGTCCTGATCTAAATCGAATCCGGATTTCGTGACTGCGGCTTTAATTTGTCATCGGTGGCTCTAATACTGAGGCAAAAAGAGATTCAAGTGGCTATATGTATATATATACATATATTTAGATTATTTGGTCATTAGAGACTTTTAAAGAAAAGTGGAGCTTATACTATCAGCTGTAAAAAAAGCGGATGGCGAACTCAACACCAGATGGGAACCACACAGCGAAAGGTCAAGCCTTGTTTTGCTCGACTCGTCATTATGGATTGCCGCAAAAGATTTTCATTTTGACATTAAATGTTCCTATGTCTATAACTACAATACTAGGGAACGTACTGATCATTGCTGCACTTCAGAGAGTACATTCTATCCATCCGCCGTCAAAAGTTCTCCTCCGATGGCTTATGGGTACTGATCTTGTCATGGGTCTTCTTTCACAGCCTCTCTTTGTTAGCTTTTTAACGTCTCAGGAGCACTCAGTAACTTGTAATCATCTGAAGACCCTTTTTTATACCACTGCTACATTACTTGGGTTAGGGTTGATTTTGACACTGACAGCAATAAGCGTGGACCGACTCTTTTCTCTTTTACTTGGTCTGAGATACCGGCAGCTGGTAACTAAGAAAAGAGTGCGGGTCACAATGAGTTTGCTTTGGCTTCTTAGCGCTGTGATTGCATCGACGTTCATTTATCAGCCATTCGTTACAACGAGCAGCGTTTACACGACTGGTTTCCTGTGCGTGATCGCCTCGACGTTTTGTTACTTAAAAATCTACTTGAGACTTCGCCAGCTTCAAACACAAGTAAACGTGCAAGGGCAATTTGGTCGGGGAGAAACCTTCAACATCGCACGCTACAAAAAGACGGTGACGGGCGTAGTCTGGGTGCAGATAACACTGGTGATTTGTTATGTACCACACGGGATAGCCCAAGCTATATTTGCTTTCACTGAATCGAATACGCCATCTTTCAACTTCGTTTGGGATGTAACAATTTCTATGGCTTTCTTGACCTCAACTCTGAATCCTTTCTTATATTGCTGGAAGGTTCGCGAGGTAACACGTGCATTGAAGGACACAGTCAGACCATTGTTTTGCTGATTAAGGGGAAAAATGTGTAACACATTGGAATGAGCGGTCCGCTGTAAGAAAAGTATGCATTTGGAAAAACAAAGCTTCAGGGCGTGAGGCGCGCAAGCACAGCCCTATACGTAAGAAATTATAGTACCCATCAAGTTTGGTTACTATGTAATAACAGAGCAGGAAAATTTAAAAGTTTCATTTTATGACTTACACAATAACTTAAAGGGATACTCTGCCGAGAACGACCTCTATATAAGTTATACATCATGTACGTCGATATACATCATGTACGTCGATATTGCAGAATTGAAAATATCACCTGTTGAAGGCTATCATCAAACGCTGAGGAAAATGACCAGTCTAAGAGATTTACAACCCGATCTGTCAGTTGTATAGACATTTACACCCAAAAAAACCATCGCTATGGCTTCAGCAATAATGATAAGACAATAAGAACGTCAATCAATCTATTTGAAGCGAAGAAAATCGTCTGATGCGGCTTGAGATTCAGAGACTCTCTGAAAATGATGGTCGTAAAAGACCACATGGAATTTGCTAATTGGTTCGGATATTGGGCCTTGGAGGCGTAAGGTGACTAATTGACTCCACCACTAGGGCACAATGGGGATGACGAGAACTTAGGGAACGTAAATCTCTTTGTTGTGGTCTGGCGTTGTTTCCCGGAAATTCCAAAATTTTGGGCATCTGCAAAAATTTTTTTTCAAAACTTAAACTGCTCAATGTAGTCAGGCCTCAGTCCCCCACAAAGTGTTTTAAAGTACATCACAGCATATCAATAAGGAGAATGTGCTATATAAATGGACCATTATCATCTTCGTATACTGTTTGCTTGTTAACTGCCGGTTTTTCTTTTCATTTTGTGTTATCTGACTTCAATATGATCATAAGCTAGATGTGAAGTAAGTGATTTTCCTTTTACCTTTGGTTCTGCCGGTGGCAATGTGCCATTTGTCACTTCAAAATATTTTCCTTAGAGGCGACAAACACACTCTTTAAAATTGAGATTTTTGCATCAATTTGAATGACACTGGATTAACACTGACACTGAAATGATCATGAATCTTAATTTTCGATATGACAAAGCCTCTTGAAAATTTTTGTCAGTAATGTACATTGATGACGTAGGCACTGAACTAATGAATAGAGAGGTCAAATCATGCAAACCAAAGACAAGACGTTAGGAAAAGCATCTGAAATTTTCTGAAATGTAACTGTTTTTATTCTCTTCACAAAAGAAACTTCCAAATCAAGACGCTTTTGGAAATAGTGTAGGTGAGAATTTTTTTTCAGAGAGTCATCCGATGTTATTGATCTGAAAGATATCACCTCTGATTGTTTTTATATCAGTAGTTTAATGACTTTTAATGGGAAAGTTTATGTTTGGGGTCCAGCTGATAAAACAAAACTAATTGCTAGTTGCTTAAAAAAAAAATTAACCGACTCTCTGAAGAAACGAAGCACTCTAGCATAAAAACGACTTAATGATAAATCAATAAATAACAGCCATTCTATTTCTAGTAATTCACAGCAGATTAAAAAACGAAATAAAAGGGGGTGAAGTATACTTTTAATTATGAGAAGGAAGAGTACCGCCATAGCATAAATCCAGTAAATACTATGAAAAGCTAGTAAAAGGATTTTATCACCCACGAGGCTTTTCTTAATGGGCTCAAAAGGGATATCCATTATTTAGTTTTTAACTCTAGGTCTTTGATGATTTGACGCATAAATAGCTTTTTGGGTGTTTCCAGATTGAAAATTACTGAAAAATTAAAAGCTCTTTTTTTGCTTGACAAGTTACGACCTAATTATTTTGTTGTTTCGCCTACAAATCATTTTTTTTATCATGACGTTTATGCGATTTCGAAATAAGTTATTTGACGTCAGTATCTTTTAACAGCTCCGGCTGCTAAAACGACACTGATCACCTGGTCAGCGTTTGCCGCTGAAGATCGTCTTCTTAGTTTTGGTGCCTTATTAACGCGAAGAGTGACTTAGCTTCAGGAAAAGGAATGGGGATTGTAAAATTTATGTCCATCTGGCGAGCTGAGAAACCATTATTAAAAACATTATTCAAAATTCTCATTCCTCCCCGACATGGATTAATACCAGTTTCTTTTCCTTCAATTTGCTCCAGGCTACATCTCTTCCATGAGATGAGTAGAAGGACTTTGTTGTTTTCGTCTGTCTTTAAAATAGTACGATGAAAATACTGTGTATGCTGCAAATGTACTTCACACGCGCTGCACGTTATTGAATCGTAGAACACCATTTAAAACACAAAATTCTAAGGCCACTAGAATCTTGAGATTGCCAAAGAGCACCATTTCAAACACCCTGCGTGAGCCCCCTTTGGCTTCGCAGCTGTATAACCTAATGTGATTTGGTTTGAAGGCAACAAACAAAAGTGTTATAATTTTTGAAATCACAGCCCATTCGTCTTTGAAGATTTGACACCGATTTCCTCGCTTCGCAGAAAATTAGACAGGTATCTTGGCATGGATAATGCTCTCACCAATATCAAGCGTTAAGATTTAAGCTTATACCGCTATTGTATTTCTTGTTTAACTGTCATTTGCAATCATATCGATGACAAGTGAAGAAAAAACGTCAACGTCGATCTTAGAAAAAAAAGTGAGAAGAAGGGTAAGTGAAAATATGTTTTTTCTGATAGCTTTTATAATCTGGTGAAATCTAACGACTCATAAATATAGCGAGGGAAATGTTGATTGAGAAATCATTTGCGCAATGTAGTTCTGTTAACCGATTAATAGCACAATATATGCCGCCATGAAGTAAAGGAAAAAATTGGATCAAAATCATTGATTTCCCTCGTTCTCAGCTGTAAAAACAATGCGAGAGAGGTGGTTATGAACCTTCCTGTTTGCCGATTGATAGAAGCTGGTTTTGTTGAATCCATAACAACAGAGTGGAGAATTTCAAAGTGATTATTTCGTTCGAGGAAAACAGCAAAATGAACAAAAATTTAATTTATCACGAAAATAACAAATAAAGCGAAAAATTGTAACAAACATTTCCTCCGTCATCTTGTTCAGTTCTTTTCAATTAGTTTTAATTTCCGCTTTAACCACAGTTATTATATTTTTTTGATGTTTATTCCGAGGAACAGAAACTTGAGTGATAACCGTTGATATCTCTGAAGATGAAAAAGGTTCGCTTTCCACGATGATTTCCAGGCGTGCTTCTAGTTTTTAGTGTTAGTGAACACTCTTTTAGCGATATGAGTCTTTTTTAAACAGGACAGCAATTCGTGCCCAATAAATTTGTCATTTGGATTCGCAGCACGCGCGAAAAAGAGTTTAATTAAGTTGGAAGGACAACACATTGGATAAATATCTGTTCCAAAAGAAAAGAAAATGCTGCTGAAAAATATTATTATATCATTATATTCATAATTATTATTATCATTATTATTGTTATTATTATCATTTTTATTATTATTGTTATTATTGTTATTTTTATTATTATCATTATTATCATTCTTGTTGTTATTATTATTATTATTGTTGTTGTTGTTATTATTGTTATTATTATCATTATTATTATTATTTTGGTATCACCATTGTTATTATTTAACAATACTAAAATCGGGACGATTAACAGTCTTTCCAATAATGACAATATACCTGACGGGTTTTTGCCAATCAAATATATAAAGTAAGATTGCAAAAACTGAAAATTTATTTCTTTTTTTTTAATGTTCATTTTAAGAAGAGGTTGACTGAACAGTCATATAATCTTGAACTAGAAGAGGCCAATTATTTAGCAAGATTAATATTACAATAAGAAAATGAAACGAGGTAATCTACATTCATTCTCTCATGTTTTTAACTAAAAAAATATATGTTTTTGTTTCTAATGTAAATGTTGGTAGATTTTGGTGGGTTCTATCTTCAGTGGATACTATCCCATTTTCATTGATATAATGCCTGGGGGTCAGGGACTTTAAGTTGTCAGGACGGCAACGCCGGGCGTGAGGAAGAAGTCGATTAAAAAATATAAGGACCCACAACGGCGACGGCAAAAGAAAGTGGAAAAACCGAAAGATCATATTATCGGGAAAAAAGCTCTGCAAGCGCGTTATAAGCTTTGTACATTTCTGAGCCATTCTCTGCAAAACAGCTACGTAAAATTACCAAAATTTGTGTGGTCTGAGAACGGAAATCTCGACAGCAAATAATTTTAGTTTCCCTTTGGAACTTAAAGCTGCTCACGCACGTTATGTTGAAGTTAAGGTTTGGCTTCTGAAGAGACGGTAAACACATACAACCATTCGCGAAGTTCTAACTAAAAATATGAATTCACTTTTAAACGGCATCCTCGTCGGCGTTGCTTCCCCTGCTGCCCAAGGTCCCCTTTGAATTTTTTTTTTTAGTTAGAATTCTGCCAATTAGTTATCTAGTTGGCACTCGGCTCCTTGACAGGGATGATTAAAAAGAGGATAAATTAAAACTACGAAATGTATAACCTAAAATGAGAACAGGTGCTTCTGTAAATCGAACCAAATGATGAATATTTTCACATTATTTGCTTGTTATCGCATGAAGAGCTTGAAGGCACCAAAAGGCGCTAAGTACATGAATTCGTTTATTTGTCGCTTCATATGGCACGAAACTACCACTGACAATCATTTCAAAACCGTTTGACGCGGCTCTGGATAAAGGAAACATAACAAAAAAATTCCTTTTTTTTTTCGATATGGGTAATTTTAAATTCTGTTGCCTCAAGCAAAATACATATACGTCAGTATTTATTAGGAGGGAGAAATTGAAAATTAGAGACAAACCTGTTATTAAAATGCGTTAAAGTTTGGTGGTAAGTGGCAAGATATTGGCGAAGATCCAACATCATTTTGTGTGTGTGCGTTAGCGTTAAAACTGGAGTAAATTTTAATTCATCTTGCCCATAACATCCGACGTACAACTCATCGTGTTACCGTAAGGCAAATCGAATCCACAAGCAAAGAGACGCCATCCTGTCTGATTTGATAACTCAAACACCATCTGTTGACACAAACTGAACGTTCATAAACTTTGTTTTTGAACGTGATGATACTATCCTTGCCAATAGATTAAGAAACGGCTAGATTGATTCTTAAGTTTGAAGTTTTTCGAGCAACACATACCCGCCTAGTTTTACATCTTTTTTTCATTTCTCGCCAGTAATAACGTCGGAAATATAGGGACGTGGGTACACACGCCTGAGGTTTGTATTCAAGACTTGTTTCCTTTTTCATCATTATTCAGATTTTGATAGAACCCAAGTTTAATATAACCTTCACGGCAAGCGTCGAAAGGAAAGAACTGCACTTCTTACCGTTGATTAACGTGATTCAAGATCAGAGCTCGAGTTTAGGTCGTTTTTTGTTGTCGTTAACTTCCCGTCTTGAAACTAGCAATATCTTGATATCACCGAACGAACCATTAAGTTCGCTTTTAGTCCGGAAAAAGAATTCATTTGTAAAAGTTGATTCAGTGAAAGAAGAAAAACCAACAAAGTGACGAAAGTTAACAAGAATGGTTCTTCAGTTATCCGAAATAAGTGGCTAACCATTGAAATCACAGGATGGCATGTAGATATAAGATGTTGGTGAATCAGCTAATCATGCAAGTTGAAGATTTTCTGTGTTTTGCGAGAAAAAATTGCAGATCCACCAATAACTTAAATTAATGATGTATTTTTGCATGTTTTACTTGCCAGAAAAGACATTCAAACGACGTCGAAGAGACAACGCTCTTGGCTCCCTTTCAACTCATGAGAAATGGAGAGAGAAGCTTAGAAACATGCCTGTTGAACCTCAACCTTTGTTATGACCAGCAAGAAATAGGTCTACACGGAATCAATATAACAATGACGAACTCAACCAAAGGCGGGAACTACGAATTTTATTGCCCACTCAGTCTTTACGGATTGCATCTCAGGATAATCATGTCAACGCTAAATATACCATTATCAGTCACCGCTGTAATGGGAAATATTTTGATCATTGCTGCCCTTCGAAAGATACCAACATCGTCCCTTCATCCACCATCGAAATTCCTCTTCAGCTGTCTCGCATGTACCGATCTGGGCGTAGGGTTAATCACTCAGCCTTTATTCCTCAGCTTTTCATGGTCTACCGAACACTCCAAGCCTTGTTATTACCTTGTTATCTTGCTGTACACAATAGGGGGGACATTTTGCGGCGTCTCATCTCTAACTGTGACTACTATAAGTGTGGACAGACTTCTCGCCATGTTATTAAGACTTCGATATCGACAAGTGGTTACGTTGAAACGAGTGCGGCTCGCCCTTCTTCTCTTTTGGCTTCTCAGCTCTGGTGTAGCGATGACAATGTTTCACGACTTGCGCCTCTGCACAACATTGATCAGCATCATACTATCTGTGTGTCTAATGATCTCGACTGTGTGTTATGTGATAATTTATCGGACTCTCCGTCAACATCAAAATCAAGTGCAAGACATCGGTTATCATCGAGAGCTTAACAAATGGGACAATCCGTCAAATATAGCACGATACAAGAAAACAGTTTCCAGTGCTTTGTGGGTGCAGTTAGCACTCCTGGCTTGTTATCTCCCATATGGTACGGTGGCAGCTGTATTTGCCATGACTAGATGGCGAACGGCGAGTCTTGATCTCGCTTTAGATGCAACACTAACTCTACTATTCTGCAACTCGGCAGTAAATCCGTTTTTGTACTGCTGGAAGAACAAGGAAATAAGAAACGCAGTGAAACAAAGAACCAGACAGTGCCTTTGTTAGCAAGTTTTCTGGTAAATTTTAACAAAGGTCAACTCGTTTTATTAACGGTCAACGGTCAACTCGTTTTAACAACGTCAGCTGAGAGTGCAGGCGCCAGACCGAGGGGGACCGGGTAGGAATGAGTGCAACATCTCCAAAGTCCACAATCGTTTTTCCTTTTTCTTGATTAGCTTGAGAGTTCAAGGGTGTAACTTATGTTGGACAGCGATTCTATTGTTCAGCACTGGAGATATGGCTGGTCCACAAACTTCTAGCACATCACACTTTACTTCGGTTACATGACCAGGTGTTTTAACCTTCATACAATTCCATTGCAACATGGTAATAAAGAGCGAAAACGAACGAGTGGTTTTCAGTTTAAGTTGTACAAAACTCTGTAGCGTATATTAAAATAGTGCAGGAAAATGATGTTGGTCATGTTCAACTGATTGCGCTTATAGTCTGGCTTTACTTCTATAGCGCAACCTTTAAGAGGAAATTTAATACTTGCGGAACATGAAAATAGCGCGGAGCGTCATTTAGCGTGGTCTTCAATTTCTGAGCTGTGAGAAAATTGACACTGCATGAAGTTCCCCATCCATGTTAAGACGTATCACGGAAGTAAACATGGCGCACAATTTTCACTTTCACCCGCTTCGCATGATGGGAAACTTGCCTTACTTCGCTCTACAATACAAATCCTTCCATCTCGACCAATCAGACGCAAAACAGAAAACTAATTGCGACTTAGTCCCCCACGTTTTCACGCTTTTGATTTGGATATTCTGACTACTGTGATTTTGTTTAATTTTTCTGGTCCACGTCTTGAAACGTGCAGTCAAAATGAACTCTAGAATATTGCACATGGAAAATGGAGGGTCCTGTGCTCACGTCTGATATTTGCGTCTTCCTTACATTTTATTTCATTGCGTGCAAGGCGAACGAATTAGTCACGTGCTCTTCCTCTCGCGCATGTCTCAGCCTTCGCGAGCGTCTCGCAATTACCACTGACCGCCTAAACAATGCAAACAAATGGCGCGTGCATAAGCCTTAAAGCGAAAGATGACTCTAACCAATTGTTAAAAGCAACACCTGATTTATTAACCTTTCTTATTTAATTTTTGGAGGTACAAATAGTTCACGGGCAGCCTGAACCTATGTGCTTATCTAATAAATAAAAATAAAGCACCTAAAAGATTTGATTCTTTGACGTTAAAAATTTTGATATGATTCCTACTGCGCTTCCGAAAATTAGCTTACGCGCGATGTTCCTTTTTTTGAGCAAAAAGTGAGTTAAGAAGATTTCTTGGCATGGAATAGACCCCATTTTTGGTCTCCACGGCCACAGCGGTCAATCTTTGTCTCCCAGTCTTCAACAAGGTATTCAAAATCATCCTTTTTGAAATCCTATTTTGAAAAAACAGAAAACAAATAAACAAGTAAAAAAAAAAGGGATCCCTTTAACTCTGAAATCCCACGAGTGACCAGCATCTTATTTCTCCCAAGAGCATCACCCCTGAATCAAACATTAAGGCCATGGTAATATAGGAAATGATCATTTAAGAAGCTCTTGATTGTTTAACTAATTCTCTGTGACAGCACAATAGAAAATGTATAGAGGACAGTTTGGAGAATTTACATACTGATGTTGAGGTGTAAAGATTGAAATGAGAAGATAAGATCAGTTTATTCATGAACTGTGCCTAACCTCACAATTTGACCATTAGAACTTTCCTGTTGTCACTGATTTTTTAATTTACATTTATTAATGATAAAAATGATCTATATAGTTAAAGTGTAGCTTTAAATATTTTCACCTTCAAGAAAATGTCCCTGTCTGTTTCAAATCTTTTCCTCTCTGACTGAAGAACTTCAACAAATCTCTTGGTGTTGTCTATTGCTTTTACATCAATAAAACCAACCTTCTCAAGAAGCTATTAACGCAAAGAAGAAGACATTTCACAAAACTTGAGAAAGGAGTTTGTTATAACTTTAAAATTCTTATATTTGTGTTTCAAATTTTAACTTGTTCTGACAACAGTCTGGATGTCTTAAATCAAAGCTACATGCCTTGGCAGAAATCTTAACTATCTAATTTTTTTAAGAAAGATGAAAAGCAGCCCAGTTTTCCAACAGATTCTCAGTCCTTACCTTTCCATAATCAGCTGGAGTCAGGAGGTGATATTGTCGCTTAGCAACATATGCTTTCATCTGCTCAGACAATTCATTAGCACCACGGCAGTAGTCAGAAATAAGAAGCTCTCCTCCAGGCTTCAACCATTTCTAATCAAGATGAACAGAATTACAAGCAATCACTCAACTGGAACTTATGAAAATGCAATGTACATATACAAGGGGGCATGTACAGTGTAATGTGAGAAATGATTGAATGATGATTTTTTTTCTGGTTTTGACACTGAGCATGAGCCCGCATCTAGCAGAGTTTATTTTGGCAGATTGAAGTTTTCATTGAATTAAAAATTCTAAGTGCTTGGAATAATGCTACAAACAGTTAAAATTGAATGAACATTTAACATAGCTGAACCTTTCTACACATGAGTGAAAACACACTCTTTCAAGCCCACATGTAGTCCACCTTACACCCATCTTATTACAATCTGTTCAAGAGATTTACAGTCAACACCTCACATATTAACCAAAGATGTGTGTCCCCTTGGAGAGTTTGTATTAACCAACAAATGCACATAGTTTCTCAACAAAATGTTTGACATTCCCTTGGGAAACAGGGCAAAGCAAACATTGGGTCAATATTACATGGGTCTTTACTTTAAGCACTCATTCATTCCAAAAAAAATGGCATACCAAGAAGTTCTTAAACAAGGATTCCTTATCAGCAATGTGGAGAATTGTGTCTCTACTGTAAATAACATCAAATGATTCTGGGGCATAATCTGCTGTTGTTATGTCAGCAACCACAAATTCAACCTAAAAACACAAAGGACAACTTGAAAGTTTAGTGCTTGAGCTACAAAGTTCAGAAACACATTTATTTAACAATACATGTACCACTTTTGAGCCTTTTTCATCTGAAACATTCCCAGTTCACATCACAGTAGTTTCCATTTGGCATATGTTGAGCTTAGAAATTTCCAATGCTGCAAAATTGCAATGACATCTTCACGACAAAAAAACACTATGTTTACATAATATAAATTGTACCATCTCAAGATTACATAAACCCTTTAACTCCCATGAGTGACCAAGACAGAATTTCTCCTTACAATATCAATACAATGTCAACCAGATAAGTGATGAAAATAAAGAAAAATATCAACTCGGGGATGATTAGTTGATCCAATACTAAATTCTCTGAACTAACATTATAAGAATTGTATGGTTGACAGTAAGGAGAATGACAAATTTGATCTGGGAGTTAAAGGGTTAAGATATTTATATGAGCTACAGTAATTTCTAGATGCATGTGGTATAAAACCTGTAAGGGAATTTCTTCTTCATGTATTATCACAACAACTTACATTCATTTAGTTGTAACATTTATTTACTCATAATGTTTACATCATACTTTAAAGTTACTGACTTCTGATTGTTAATTCTCCCTTCTAGCTCCTAAATATTTCCTTAGGAATGAGTTATAAGAATTTGGTGTTCAATCAAGATAACAACTTCTACCTGATAAGTTTGAGTATTCATTATCTGTTTGCTGGATAATGTATGAATATTTTAGGGGGAAATTACATGTTAATCACTTCTTGAAGTTAAAGGTTACATGTAAGCACATTCTACCTTGTCATCCTTAAATTCCTTGGCTCTCTGTATTCCTGTATCAATCATATTTGTTGACAAGTCAACACCCAATACTTCCACTTTAAAATTCTAGGTGAGAAACAAGATAGTCCAATTTAACAAAATATTCCACAAAAGTTGTTAATTAAAAGCTAAAAATTTTTGTTAAAAACATGCTACCATATTGCTTTCATGAATAAAATGATGATATCTGAAAACTCTTTTAAAAAAAGTAATTGCAGTGCTATAAACAAGAAGTAGTCCTACATGTAGCTCTGAAATAGTCTAAAATCTAAAGATTTTTTATTCTTAAAAAGATCCCCAACACCCTCCCCAGCCTACCCCTCTGCATACCAGTATTGGCAAAGCTGCATAATGACTCAGAGCATAAGAAAAATAAAGTTGCACCACAAAAGAAAACCAAGTTAAATTATTATAGTCTAATGATTTCCCTTAGCCCATGCCCCTGAATTTGTTGATTACCTCCTTTATCCAAGTCCCCTCACAAACTAAAATTTGATAAAATCGACTCAGTGCATGAGAAATTCAAAAAATAAATTCAAACCAAAATGATTTTCCTTATTTCTTTTGTAAAATATCAACATTTCCTTTTAACTAGGAGTTCAAGAGGTTTATCCAAGAGGCGACTGAATAAACCTGAAGAGTAGGCATATATACACTGTACAATAAAAAGGGATTTATCACAAGTCATACCTTCACCATGTAGAAAGCAGAACCTCCTATTCCACAACCAACATCAAGAACTGTTTGACCTGGTCTTAAACTCAGCATTGCTACAATTTCCTACATAAAAAAAGAAAAGAGAATGAAAAAAATGAAAAAATTGCTTTGTTCCCATATTTCACTTCAGGGAGGAAAGGCTTGAAAAATTTTTGGATAGACACTACAGAGAATGAAAGATGACAGGTGTTCTACATAATCCCTGGGATAAACAAAGATACCACATCCCCTTAACTAAATACAGTGATATAAACTTGTGTATCAGGTTAAAATCACAGGGAATGAAAGATCACAATATTACAAAATCCCTGGAACAAAGGAAACAAAGGCCTCATGAAATAACCTGTAGGGGGTTAACACCACAGGAATGGTAGGGGACCTTAGTGCACAATCCCTGAGGTAAGATCTTTGTTACATGTATGTGAAGGGACCTTTTTAAGGTTACTGTCAACAATATCATGTAAAACACCTTGCAAAACATTGAGAAATAATAGTCTTTATCACACCATAAAAAAAGAAAAGATGTAAGAGACCCGAAGCCAAAGAAATTGAAATTGAGTTTTCTTTTACCCTAGCTTACTTTTCCCACTTTTCCTTTTGCTTTTCCCGATTAATTTTGGATTTCCTTGCATTCATATTCCCCATTTAGCGAAATGACCATTACTGCAAAATTTAAAGTACTTTTTTGTCACAAGACTCGCCACAAATATGAGAGAAAAATAAAACACAAACAAAAAGTCACTCCTGAGAATTCCCAATGACAGGAGCAAAAGCTGGGTTTCAACAAGGGCTGCACCACAAATAAAAAATAGAAATCATTGACGAAAGAAAAGTTTCTCCTTCGATTGCACAATACATGAGGGAGAATTTAGATTTT